AATTTGCTGGGTGTGGTGGCACACACCCATAATCCTTGCTACTTGAGAGGCTGAGGCAGGAGAATTGCTTGAACCCGGGAGGCAGAGGTTGCAGTGAGCCAAGATTGCACCATTACATGCCAGCCTGGGTGAAACTCCATCTCAAAAAAAAAAAAAGTGTTAGCCGGAGACAACGCATAAAGGAATAAAGGAATAGGTGTGGCTATGTTCCCGAAGAACTTTATGAGCATGGAAATTCAAATTTCATAAAATTTTTGTCTTATAAATTGTTCATCTTTTGACTGTTTCCAGTCACTTAAAAATGTAAAGCCCATTCTTAGCTTTCAAGCCATACAAAACCAGGCTGCAAGCTGGATTTAACCCTCAAGCTATAGTTTGCCAACTCCTGCTCCATCCTATGCTATCTCACCTTACATCTACGTGAAAGATGTAAGGTGTCAGACAGAGTGTGCCTGAACAGTGACCAGCACAGACTAAGTGGTCAGTAAATGCTCATTCTCGTTCCCTTCCCTAATCTCGTTCTCCTTCTTCTTCGCCACAACCAGATCAGATATCTCATTTTGTGCCCAGCACAAGAGAGGAAGGCGAGGACTTTAGCGAGGTGGACTGCAACTTCTCAGTAAAGAAGTTACTGAGAAATGTCCCAAAGGAGAGGAGAGAGTGGGAATTTGAGCTCAGGGTGGCTCAAACTTTAATGACTTTACAACTAGAGGTCCTGATAAAATGCAGATTCTGATTTAGTAGGCCTGAGAATCTGCTGGTCGGTCCTGCAGGTCACCCTGTGAGCAACAAGCTTCAAGGGCATCCCCTCTGTGTCCACAAACACAAGTCAGTCTCGCGCTGCCTCCAGGCTTTGGGTTCAGGCTGGACTGAGTGGCTCCCCGGAGACAGGGCAAGGTCCAGGACATATAATCAGGCCCCCTCCCCAAGGACAGCCTGAGATGACTTACAATGGAGGAGGAAGACAATACGGGGCGGAGATCAAGAGCGGGTAGGGGAAGGCTCCAGCAAAGGCGTCTGTTCCTTTGGCAACAGCAGACAGAGGCCTCCTGGGGGCCCAGCAGACAGGAGCCCCTCCCGCCGTGCCTGCCAGGGCTCTGATGGACGGAAGCAGGAGGCCTATTTCCTCATCGGGCCTCTGAATAACTAGGGCACTTCCACAAGGTCACAGTTATTCATTTAAATTCCAGGTCTAATCAGCAGACAGAGCTTGAGAAATTATCCCTTCTGAGGAGAGAGGCTGTCATTGGAGCACCATAAACAGCCCCTCCAGGCAGGAGGGACAAGCACTGAGGGAGGGGAGAAGAAGGGTCTCACACCCAGAGGTCCCAGAATTGTTCCCTGTGCTCTAACTGACTACTCGACTACTCTTCTCTCTTCATCATCTCCAAATGGCTTCCAGAGAGTTCTGGAACAGGCAAAAGGCAGGGGAGGGTTTAAGACAGGGCAGAGATGCCCACCTCTGCCCTACAAGCAGCCTAGGAAGACCAGTGACAAATTCCAATGTACAAAAGCATGGGATAAAGCACCTGACAGGGGTCCCTGCCAGGCCACAAATGGGTTACATAGCCTTAGAGAAGTCCCTTCCCTTCTTGGGCCTGAGTTTGCACTCCTTGGACAGGATACCCTTTAAGCTCCACCATGTCTTGGAACCCTACAAACTCAAAATTTCCCATGTGCTTGTGGCCAAACTTCTTGTTCAATAGAAATTTTTGAGGTTAAACGCTGTGCCATGTGCCATGCAAAGAGCTGGGAATGCAGACACAAATAGGACACAGCCTGGCCCACAGCTCTGTCATGTGAAAAGCAGGGTCTGGAAGAACAAGAGCACAAGCTTTGGAGGCAGACAGATCCGGGATCCTGGCCTAGTCACTAGCAGGAGGTGACCTGGGCAAGTTACTGAACTCTCTGCAGCAACATTTCTCCCTCTGTGCTGAGGATGGTAACACCAACCTGGAGGGGCTGACATGGAGGGTTAAGAGAATGTCAGAGCTGGGCTCCCAGGCCCTCTTCAGCACCTGTCAAGAGCTTACTGTTACTGTTATTATTCTGAACCTCCTCCCCAAAGGCTACAAGGAGGGAATGTGGATTTCACCCCATGAAGTGGAAGAAAATGTGCCTGCCCCTTTTCCTGGGTGCCCTGGGCTCTTGCTCCAAATCCCCAGCCTGTCTCTGGGACCTTGGGAAAGGTATTGCCCACCAGGCCCCATCTCAGACTTTTACATTAGGGTTACTTCTAACTCATCTCCTCCACATGTAAAATTAATCAATTAATCAATCGTCCCTTTATAGTCTTCCAGCGGCCTCTGGTAAATAGTTACATTAGCTCATAAAATCCCCAATTTGTCTTCCTGAGGGGAAGGAAAAAAAAGTCAGAGAACCACTAAAGGCTTCTTGTTTCAGAACCACAGTGCTGCTGGCTCCAGAATGCCTGGCCAGGGGCTCAGAGAGGCAGGAGGCCCCCACTGACCTCAGCCAGGGCTGGGCATGCTCAGGCCACCTCCTGCCACGTCCAGGGTCACAAGGGAAGGGTCCAAACCAGTGATTTGCTTCAGGCTCAGAAACCACGAAAAAGCAAGGGGTTGGTGGGGCAACAAGATTGGTAATCAGCCCTTGACACTTCAAGGACAGAATGAAGAGCACAAGATCTGAAATTAGGCTGCAATCCCCTCTTGGCCCTGCCACTCAACAGCTGGGTGACCGTCACACATCATTTAACTTCCCTGGGCCCCAACTTCCTCAGCACTGAAATGGCGCTCAGGCTACACACCTCAGAGGGATAAGAGAACAAAATGAGACAATAGCCATGAAATTGAAATGATGTGGGTCAGGCTGGTCATAGTTGCTGTTATCTGAGGAAGGGTGACTCACAGACCTCTACCCCTTTGAAAGGATGGCAGAAGGCCTATGGGTCCACTGTGTTTCACTCCGCCATGTTATCTCACCCAGGACCAATATGGTGCCTGTATGAGCACTAGAAAAAGATGCCCCTTTGGTCAGAGGCAGCCGCATGGGCACAAGCTTGGCAAGAGGAACACAGGCTGGATTCATACCCCCATGTACCCCCTTGGCTGGGAGGCTTTAAGCAGGGCCCAGCTCTATGTGGTGACCCATGGTCACATCTCTACTGGGAACCAGAAGGAGAAGAAGCCACGTGGCACATTACAAACAAAACAAGGTGTTGGGCTTACTCCCTTGCTTCCTTGAGGTTTCCCAGCAAATATCATCTTATCAGAGGATACTTCCCTGACTACCTATTGTAAATTAGGGACTTCTCCTCTATCCTGCTTCAATTTTCTCCACAGCACTTCTCACCCACCCCCTGACACTATATATATGTAATATATACATAACATGCATATATGCATGTATATATGTATGCATATAAAGTATGTATATATATACATAGATATGTGTGTGTCTGTGTGTACATTTTAGATCATTGTCTGCCTCTGTCCAAAATAAAAGGTCCATGAGGGTACTGACTGTCTTCTGTTTTGTTCACTGTTTTGTCCCCATGGCCTAGAACAGTTCCTGGAACATAAATATTCGTTGAGTGAGTGATTGAACTAAAATATTATTAAATAGAAATAATAAACTTAATGGCATCTTCCTAGGAAATGCTGTCCTGGGCTTTGGTTCAAACACCAATTATTTTCAAAGGTAGGGAGCAGGCAGGAAAAAATGGAGAGAAACTCTCTGCATTAAGTAGAATAACTGTATTCTACTTTTATGTGGTGTACGATCCCACATAGAACGATGATCAGAAGAATGTTACTTAAGTCTGGTTGATTATTTTAGATATTTAAGACAATAAAAAGATACATTCATTCAGAAAGAAGGCTGCTAATAAAGAAAATGTCATATTATCTCTAAGCAAAAACAAACAAATAAGCAATAGTCTCATTAGGAAATACTTACAAAATCTTTAATCACTGAGAATTTTCACTCATGAGTCCTAGCATGTTCCAATGGAGAGTCAAAAGTTCAAATCCCAGTGCTACCACTGACAAGCTCTATGACCGTGGGCAAAACTGCTTAACCTAACAGGCCCTAAATTTCCTGTACATTAAAATGAATATAATGATACTTATCTTGTATTAATGCTATAAAAAAAATTAAATGTTAAAAGGACTAAACAAGAAAACATGTGAAAACACCTGACATGATGCTCCCTTCTTATTTGGTCAAGTTAATTATTCTTTTTAACTCAAAGTTCTAGCCAGTTCAGAATAGTCTCCAAACCATTCTAAGTCATCTGACACTTATCCATAAATGTTTGCATCAGTTCCCATGATTCTATGTATGTGTGTGTGCATATATATTTGTCTATACACACAAAATGCTTAAAACCAGGACTCTGGATGAAGACACACTTTAAAAAGAGAAATGCTTAATTATTATAAAGGTGGTTCTTTTATTTTTTCCATTGACAAAAACCATTTATTGAAACCATCCCACTTTTTTTTCCACAGTGAGCATGTATTATTTACATAACCAGGAAAAACAATAAATATTGCTGATTTCCTTGTGAAAAATACATTTCTTAGAATAAACAGAAAGAAAGCTCCTTTCACCCACATCATATTTTCCATGCTACGTATGTCATATCTTCTGCTTTCAACCACATGAAGCTACAGAAGATAAGCAGACGTGTGGAAGACAAAGCAAAACCTGTTCATTAAATTGGAGAATACTTATCTAAGAACATCTTTACAAATACTTTCCCAAAAATGCTCATTTTCTGAATCACCCAGAAATACTAAGAAGAAGGAAGTTATTATATTAAGTATAAGATCCATATTCCTTTGGTTTTAAAATGGTTCTTCAAAATCAATACAAATCCATTAATTCGAAGCATTTCTTCTTCTAAACCTAGATCAGTGAAAATGCAATATACTCAGAATTTTGTCTCTCTAAAAGTCTCACTCAGACTCAAACCATGCACAATCTAGCAGAGGGGTAATTCCCACAGCAGCTGTGCAAACACGAAGACTCACCTGGACCTTGACTGACATCTGTGGCAGCATTTTCAAAGGGAGGGAAAGGGAGAGGAGAGAAAGGGGAAGAAAAAGGAAGAAGAGTGTTAGCAGCACACACACACACAATGCAATGTGCACTTGCATGACTATCAAGTTCATGCAAGCCCCAAAGGTACTCAGCTTCTGAGCACTTAGTTCTACCTTCACCCAAAAACCACCCATGCAAGCCGAGGGGCCAGGCTCCCTTTTCACTTTGCATGTAGCAAGAGAGGTAAGCTTCACATCTGTCCGGAAACACATCATCCTGGAATCAGATAGGGCTTCAAAGAGCCAAGCAGACTGGAATCCTGCAAGAATATTGGTTAAAATATTCTGGTTGATTTCTGCACACTGACACCAAAGCAAATCCTCCTCCTCCTCCTCTTCGGATACCAAACACTGGACATGAAATCAAGCAAGGTTTCCCAGCAGAGAGAAAAAGTAAAAATGGACCACTCCTTTGAGAAACAAAGGAAAAGAGGCATAACAATTAAGTTACAGATTTATTCGCCCCATAGGACTGAAGGACATAAGATCACAAAATATTTACAAATCCCCCCCTCCCCAGTATACCCAATGACCGCGCTTCATCACAGACAGCAGTGTGTGTGCATGAGATTGTGTGTGAGTAGATCATTCATCATACAAATTGAAATCCTGCCTCCTCCTTTTTTTCCTTGCTTTTCACCCCATCACTAATGACAGAAATTGCCATTTGAAATCACTTTTGACAACTACGAATAAACACCCAACCCTAGAAAGGTTGATATTTGAATTAAGCCAATGAACTTTCAGAAAATGAAGAATGCTTCACTCCTATCAGCTCCATGAACAACATAATCTCCTCATCCTTTCCTCAAATGTGAAATAGAATTGGGCTGGGGAAGCATAACCCAGAGCAGCCCAAGGCACTGTTAAAACCCCTAGGCCCAATCTGAGAGGATATACCACAGCAGAGGAGAAGGAACAAGGGGCTGCTTCAGGAAACCACTGACCAACCCGGCAGTCTTGGATAGCTCACTTAGAATCACTGAACAGTGGATCCGGAGTAGCCACAGACACTAAGAACCTAGTTTAGTTCTTTTTTGTAAAGATGGAGGATGAAAGAAGTAGAGACTTGTACTAGGTCACACAGCTACTTCAGGGGCAGAGACTAGAAAATATCCTAGATCTCCTGAATCCCACCCAGTCCATCATTCCATTCAACTGAAGCCTAAGTCCCTCAAGAGCATACAGGAACTGAATTTGGTTTGCAGATTAAAGCAATCATGCTGAAGCCCTGGGGAAGCTGGGTGAGCGTCTCCCAACTACCCTATGAGTGGGTCATGGTTTATTCTCTGTGCCTCTAATTTGCTGCCTGAACAGGATAGGTAATGTTCTTCATGCCAACCAATAATGAAATGCCTGCAATCAGATTTGTAAAGTTCCAGTGTATCCTTAGGGCTCTTGTCCCAGGAAAATCCAGGTGCAGACCAACTAAGCTGTGGCCCAGAATGAAAGAGAAACATACCCATAGCAACAGCTGAGCACTTCTCTAGCCCCCACCCTGCCTCCCCTAGAAGCTGTATCTGCCCAAAGAAACTTCTAGAAAGCTCTGAATCATGCCTCAGCCACACACCCTCCCCCCTTCAGGTTTTCTAGTGTGTTAGATTTAGGGATGAGTGGCAGGAAGAAGAGAAGAGGTGGAAAGGGAAAAAGTGTTATATAAATAACTAGGCAGGGCCATTAACTGTTACTGATGGATTGCCTAGAATAGATATTAAAATACCCCTTAATTAAACAGGATATCAAACTATTTACATGTGGCTGAGTTCTGTGGCAGAAGAATGTCAACACCATTGCTCATACAAACAGGCTCTTTAGGGACACCAAGTCCCAGGGAGACAGAATTCCCTGGAACTCCAAAGGTTTTTCAGTACCGGTTACTAGCCCATTTGGGGATGTGGTTACGATCTTAAATTTCAGAGACAGACAGGTCTGGGTTCAAATCTCAGCCTCTCTGTTGCCTTGGACCCATCATTAAACATCTAAGAGTCATCTTCCTTGGCTATAAAATGAGAATGATATCAAAGCCTCCCTCATGGGGGTGTTATGAGAATTAAATGAGATTAAATACTTGTAAAGCACTGAACTAAGTACAAGGCAAATGCTACATAAATGTTAGTGACTCTGATTGTTATCAGTTTGAATTACCACAGACAGAAATACAAAAAAATATTGACCAGATGGCTCACTGGAAACACTAAGAAATCACAGGAATGAAGCCAGTGATTTTGGTTCCACTTTTCTGCTTACGAATAAGGATGTCTGCTCCTGATCTCCCCTCCCTCTGGTTCTTTCCCACCCCATTCCTCAGTGCGAAGTGAAGGAGTGAACAGAAGCAAGGATCAAAATAAATTCCATCCTTATTTCTTTTGTTTTCCCTCCTCAAGTCTCAATTTGGCATAGTTCTAGTCCTGTATGTAAAAATACTACACCTATTCCTGTCAAAGAGGGGCAACAATCCCACCAAAAACAAACAAACGAAAAAAACCTTCTGGCTGGGGATCAAGGTCCAAGCTCAGTTCCTAGCTGTGGCACTGACCTGGAGGCAGGTCTAAGCATTATTCCAACTTTAGGAATAGAGACACATTATCACCTGGCCCCTGGCCCAAGAAGCAGTGAGTGACCTGAATCTCAGGACTCAATTCTGACTAACAGCATGAAATGGCGAAGGCAAGAGGTAGATGAAGGAGGGGGATGGCTAGCAAGTAAAGATCAAAACCTTAGCAGTGTCCATCTGCCAGACTGCCTATCCAGCATCCCCTTCCTCTTCTGCTTGTAACAATCCTCAGTTGTTTCCCAGGGAAGCCTCCCTTCCCAGCCTTAGCCCACGTGGTTTGCTAGAGGTGACCCACTCCCACTTGAGCTCCAAGGGTAGTAGTCATGTGACTCAGTCCAGGTCTTGAGAATATTCTATCTCCAATAATTGGCTCTGGAACAGACACGTGACCCAAGCCCAACCAAAGAGAGTCGACCCATGGAATTTTACTGGAATTATCAGGAAATGGGGTGCTTTCATTTCTCTAGAGCTGCCATATTCCATCTTTGTTACCACGTGAAGACAGCTTACCTAAAAATGTGGGGAGCATAGAAGAAAACAGCTTTTCTTAATAAGGGGATTAAGATGACCTAGAACCAAATCCCAGCTCTACCCCCTCATCTAGAGGCAAGTATCTTAGCTTCTCTGAGTCTCAAACTTCTCATGTATAAATGGAGATACTAAAAGTATCTATTTCTGTGAGTTTTATCAATGAAGATCATCTATTCACCATTCAATACATATTGACAGAGCATCTATCATAGGCCAAACTCTGCTTTAAACATTGGAGACACAAGCCGAATGAAACAGACAATACTCTTGGGTTTTAATGGGAATAAAAACAGACATATAAAGTCAAATAGTGATTGGAGCCATGAAGAAAGGAAAAGTAGAGTAAGTGCCAGCAAAGTATCCCCATTTTAGAGAAGGTAGTTAAAGAAGGTGTTTCTGAGGAACTAGTATTTGAGCTGATACCTGAAGAAGGTGAGAAACACTCTTATGTATACCTGACAAAGACTATTCAGGTAGGGGAACAGCAAATGCAAAATATCTAGGCTGTATCTGCTCAGTTAGTTATTTCTACGTTATGATAGAAAAACCGAGGACTGGCTCACATTACCTTCCCTCTCCCACCTTCCCAGCTCTACCATTCACACACGTCCTCAGTAGGTAACAGGTACTCAATAAATATTCAGGGGAAAAAGTAATCCTGATGAAAACTAGCTCTGGCCCAGTTGCAGCTATCTCACTTAGGATCTCCATGCTCTATACAGTAGGAACAAAACAGGAAAGAAAGAATTGGAAACCCACCTCCATCTTTCACCCACTCTGTTCAGCATCACAACCAGGGAAGAAGTAAATTAGGGCATTCCTGCCTCCACTCAGAGCCCCATGGACACTTATTGCATGTTCAACAATAACTTCAGCCACAAGTGCATACGTTCAGCACAGTTATCCTCAAGTCCAAGGGAAACAATTTTCTGCAGTTTGGGGAACCTGGTTCTTCTAACCTGATATGGTTTAGCTGTGTCCCCATCCAAATCTGATCTTGAATTGTAGTTCCCATAATCCCCACAAGTCATTGGAGGGACCCAATGGGAGATAATTTAATCATGAGGGCAGTTACACTCATGCTACTCTTGTGGTAGTGAATAAGTTCTCACAAGATCTGATGGTTTTATAAGGGGCTTTCCCCCTTTTGTTAAGCACTTCCCTTCCTGCCACCATGTGAAAAAGGACATGTTTGCTTCCCCTTCTGCCATGATTGTAAGTTTCCTGAGGCCTCCCCAGCCCTGCAGAACTGAGAGTCAATTAAACCTCTTTTCTTTATAAATTACCCAGTCTCGGGCATTCCCTCACAGAAGCATGAGAACAGACTAATACATTACCATTGGGGGGAAAAGAAAGGACCCATCATTCACCACTATTGCACTTGCAGAATCTAGCTCAGCCGGGGTAGTCCTCCCACCTCACCCTTCATTTGTACTAGATCATCTGGACAGGTATGAGTCCAAGTTTCCCCGACTTGCTACTTCAACTCCCCCATGCCTCTGGAGGAGCTCTGGAGAACATGGGACAGCCTGCACAGCCAGCCTCCTGTAGGCGAGTCCCAGTCAAACCTTCCGGGACCCCACCTGGTGAACTCTGCCTTGAGTCTGACCTATTTTCTAGGAGAGAAAATAGAATATAGATTTAAATGCAGTGGCGCTCTGGAAAACTACAGGCCCAGCAGTATGAGAAAATAAAACAGCAGGAGGTAGCTGAGGAAGTGTGCTGGCACAGGGGAAAATGCTACCACCCCTAGATCAATCTTACCTGGTTTGTCAACTGCCTTTTATTCTGCAAACTGCCCCCATTTTCGTCTATTACAAATTGATAAACACATATGTATACACACATATTTACCTGTGTATTT